CTTGAATTTCAAATTGGGCAGTTGTAAAAGTGTCATTGAACAGACTCAAAGTTCAAAAGAAAAATTTCTCAAATTTATGAGTAGCCCTATCCATTCAATTTGACTTCTAATGAATAAGAACAGTTGTAACCTCCTTATAATAAAAACCAATTGTCTCAATGTATACAATCCCAATAAATTTTATACCCAAGTTGCAATATCATTTTATACTACTACTCAGGAATATCAATTCTATCAAACAACATAAGGTCAAAACTCTCTCTCTCTGTCCCTCTCTATAGCTTGCTAGCTATTATTGTCTCTTATATTCATTAATATATGGAACTTTGTGCATAATCTAATCCAACATATTGGGGGCAGGTATAGGTAAAAGCTATCCCTTTCCCATTGGGAAGAAATTACCTAACAAATTCATCTTTTTCCTTCTTCACTTTGACACGAATAACTCTCTACACTCACATGAAACTTAGCCATCAAACCCTAATTCATCATCAAAGACCATTTTCATACTCCACTCAAAATCATAGAAACAAATAAAACAAAAGGAAATGCATTAACCTTGTGCTCCCCCTCTCCAAAACGGCCACGTACGCAAAACCCTAACCTCGAGAGAAATGATGGGAGAGTGACTCTCAACCGTCAATCGCTTGTTACGAAAGGAAACACGTCACCTACCCAAGAGGAAATGAGTAGGTTTTTTCTCTCTTATTTTATGTGGGGGAGTTCTGTCTCTCTAAACTATTTTCGTAGAAAAACATCTTTTCATTAGCTTGCATGATAAGCCAACCTCATTAATATATTGAGAAATGAATTTATTGGAGTTTGGATTTCAAAAGATCACTATTAAATTTAGTACGAATTTAAAAAAAAATCAAATCATAATTTTTTTAGAGATTTATATGAAATTTAATAATGATCTTTTAAAGTCCTATACCCATAGATGAAAGAAGGTCACACATACATAAATGAAAAAAAATCCTATAAGATCATTACTCTAATATATTTGCACTAATTCAAATTTAAAAGATTCTATTGAAGCAACGCGGTTCTCTCAAACAATATGAGAAACCTTATAATATATTGTAAAAAAAGAAAAGAAAAAAAATACATGGTGTATCATGTATACGTACTCCTATATATACTTGAGAGGGAGAAATCATATGGGTATGTGCCAATGTCATACACACGTGCACAATCATGCACAATACAAAAATAAACCATAAAAAGTTCTAATTACTAAGACATCCTTATTGATTGTAAGCAATTTATGTGGAGACCCTTATGTCTTAATTTCAGAAGGGAGTGAGACAATACTTGAATGGGAAGTTTAAGATGTAAGTAAATACTGGAAAGGAACGTGTAATGAGTATTTTTAGTTATTTAAAAAAAGTTTTATCGAGAAGTGCTAACCGGGCCGATCCAATCGGTTGGACAACTGACTAGTGCTTGAGCCCGACCTGACCAAATTGGCCAGTCCATTCGGTTTGACAATAGACTAGATGTGTTGAGTTGAGCTTCCTATAAGAAGTGCGCCCTTCACTTCCATGCAGGGCAGGGAGGTGTGCATTCTCATTTTTTATAGGTGCGCCCCTCCAATTACTATGAAGTTCCTAGTTGTCAAACTCGCAACTGCTGCAACACCATGGAAGTTGTAGCTTCCTGAAACTTCTAGATACCAACACGCTATAATTTTTTACTTGACCAGGTCATGTTCGACTCTCAAATAGATTAGGGGGTTCAGTTAAAAAAGTTTCAATTGTTGGTTGAAATAGTTAAAATAGATTTTCTATAAAAAAAACGAAATAATGATATACAAATATGAAACATCTTATGAAACTTTGCCCAACTTTTCATTTTAGTAATTTTATTTTTAATATATATTTTAGGTCCACGTTGATGAGAAGTATTGCTAATCAAAATATTGGCACAATGTGACGTATGCAAAGAGAAAAATTGAGATGCTGGACACACTCTCAAATAAAAAATACTCAAGAATTGGGAATTTCCACGTTTATCAGACACATGTTTTCATAGTCACTTAGGAATCCACACAAATTATCAAAATATAATAATTTAATATTCAAATGCAATTATTCCAGCCTCCAAACTCGAGAACTTCCCAATTTTTCGGCTTCCATTTCTCAAACAAACCTTATCCATTTTCGATGGTGGGTAGCAAAGAATAGTGTTAATTTGGCATTTGTCATTGTGGGTAGCAAAGAATAGTGTTAATTTGGCATTTGTCATAGTTATGATGCATCATTCGTAACATGGAATAAAAGGTGAGTGTCGTTTAGGGTGTGTTTGATTTTTGGAAGCATTTTTAAGGAAGTGGATACCCTAAGTTCTATAGTTCCCTAAAGAACTAGCAGTATCCACTTTTTAGACTTAAATATAAGAGAAGCGCGCACTGCAGTATCTACTTTACTGTAAAACTTCCCTATTGTCGAACAAGGAAGTACTAAAGCACTAGAAGATACTATTTCCGAAAATATATCTTCTAAAAATCAAACAAGCGCTTAATTTACCATACGCCATTGTTATATGGTACACCTTTCCTAGAACTACCAAAATTAATATCAACTCATGCATCCATAAATGGAAGTTCTTGGGAACCAAACAACACCCTAATTAACCACAAATCCAGTCACTTCATTCTAAGAAGTGCCCACTAGCCCTTCTCATCATTGAGATTGAATTTTTATACTCTCTCCCTCTACCCTACCAACTGGCAGACTACACCCAATGTCTGAATCTCTACAGAAAAATTGTTTCTTGCGGGTAGGACCTAATTTCTACAACATGCGGTCCCAAGGTATAAAGCATCTGTCTTAAAGATGGATGCAAATAGGTGATCTATCTAAAAAAAAGTGAAACTAACGGTTTAAATGTTTTCTTCACAAAATCATTTTTTATTTTTTTAAAATTTGTTTATTTTTCTATATTCATGATCACCATGTGAAAGATTATATGTCCTTAAAAATTGGATCCGAAAATCCATCTCAAAAATAGGATTTTTACTAGTGACTCATTTTTACATGGACTCATAAAAACCGTGTCGATTTTTACAGGTGTGTCAATTCTGTCAAATACATTGCACTTGTGTAAATCATACATATGTTCACGCATGCTTCATTTCTACACATATATCAAAGTTATACGTGCGGAAGATAGCTAAGAAGGGAAGCTAGGATGGGGGATCATAAGGTCAAAGAATGGAAAATTACGTACAAAACGGTTTCAACGCCTTTATTGTCGAATGGGACACGTTTTTGTAAAAATTATGACAAGACTACCCCCACTAAGTGGCATCTTTTTTAAAAAAAAAAATTGCCCACCTGTGCGGCATTTTCAAAATCGGATAATTGGAAGATCCCACGAGTGTTAAAAATTGCCCACCTATGCGGCATTTTCAAATTCGGATAATTGAAAAATCCTACAAGTGTTCGGCTATCTCTATTAGCGGGGGCTGTTCAGTACTATTTACACTTAATATCCATATTGTTCGATATTTCTAATACCAAGCAACTAATACTGAAAAGATGTTTGGTGTTGCTAATACCAAAAAACTCAACTTCTTAAGCGGTCTCACATTAGAAAACCTTATGTAATATAAGTAATTATTATTATTTAAAACTAATATTATTTAATTAGTATAAGAAAATATATGTAATATAATTAATTTTATTTACTTCTAATTTTATTTATTATTATTTGTATTTGAATTAGTTTATTTTTCAATAAAATTTCTTGAAATAGAACTTAGCATAATGGAATATATTTTTTGTTCTAAAATATTTAACAGATAGAAATATTTATTTATATTTTCCAGTCTATTTTATTTTATATCTATTTTTCTAATTTTATAATTAGAATACAAAATTATATATAAAATGATAGAATAGTAGAGTATATATCTAAAATAGATTAAAAGAACTACCACACAAATAGAATAGAAATTTCGAAATAGAAAATTACAAAATAAACAAGCAAATGATCAAATAAAATATAAAAGGAAATTCTATGAACATAAAATACTTTTAAATACAACTAACAATAAATAAAGTAAGAAATAAATAAAATTAATTATATCACATAAATTCTATTATAGCAATTAGATAATAAATAATAATTACTTACATTGTGTTTAGTTTTTCTAATGGCATACAACTTAGGTAGTTGGGCTGTCCGGTGGTATCAGAAACAGCGAACAACAGTTTTTTTCGGTGTTGGTAATATCGGGTAGGCCTTTACTAATAATACATATAGTAAAGTCGTCCAAGCCCCATCCATACGTAATTTTTCCTTGTTTTTACCTTAAAGAATTAACTGGTATCATTACCAGTCCTGAGTGGAATACCCCCCATCTTTCAAAGCACCCTTTAATAATCAATTTGGGTGCGATGCTGAAAGCCGCGGTGGCCGAACTAGGATTAGTGAAAACATGGGTGGCAATAACACAAAGCAGCCTTCAAAGAATAAACCCTACACTTTCAAAACCAATTATTAGGGTTTGTGTCCTATCATTTGCAGATGCCCCCTACGTCATGGCTTTTGACATTGCCCCCAATGTCCACCGAGAAATCCAATTTTGCAGTCTTTTTCAAGGCAAGCTGCTCCTTTCTCAACTAACTCTTTTTCAATTTCAAGACTGTTGGCCCTCCAAAAACACTTGACTATTGCCCACTTTCTTCTGATAAACTAAAAGTAAACCCCATTTGCTTTTGCTTTTTCTATGTGCTTATATACAAAATTCAAGATAAAGGCCCACTCTCTAATGAAACTCGACTGCTTTTTCCATGAATTTAAGTTTATCATATGTACCCAGTACCTACTCATCTGTATTTATGCACCATTCTCAATAAATGATTTCTATTACTACATTATAAGAGGAAGATCCGAAGTTTAGAGCTGATTTCATATCCACATTGGTTCTAGAACATTACAGTATAGTCAATGCTTAAAACCAACCAAGAAAAAACTTCATTAAGTGGTGGATGTTAACACATGATTTGACTGTACAAACTATGAAGGAAACCAGAGCCTCATCCCCTTAACTGAAATTTTTTAACACAATGGAAAACTGCTGAGTAAAAATGCTAACTTAGGTTTTCATTGATGAATGGGTCTTCAAGAAGGACCTCTGGCCAGATTGGTGAGGATGAAGCTGAAGCACCACAACCAGATGAGCCTGATACATCGGCCTGGTTATTGTTTGTGGAATTATCGATATAGTTCAATGAGCTTGAGAACCCATTAATGGGAAATGGAGATATGGGGTCCCCACTTTCAATTTGGATAATTCGTGAAGCTGTGTCTTGGTTGCTGTAATCATTCATGGATAGATTACAAAAATCCTCAAAGGTACTTGGAAACTGTTGGGTTTGTGATGGTGTAAGAGCTATCTGCTCATTGACCTGTGAACACATAGTGTTGATATCTGTTTGATAATTAGTGTTCCATAAGGTCTCTTCACTGTTGGTTTGATAATAAGGCTTTGAAGAAGATGCAACTAAGAGTGTGCTAATGGCTTCCAAGTCATTGAAACTGGAAATTAAGGAGTTGGGTTGATTCATGGAAGAGGCAGATTGAATAAGGTACTGTAAATATTGGAGCCTAGCAAGTTGCAGAGCCTCTGATTGCAATCTGAGTGCTTGTTCCTCGTAAGGTTCCATTAAGTCTTTGATATTGGCCATGGCAAGTATCTGGTTTAAGCTGCTAAAAAGATCAGTTCTCGGCCTGTGAGTCATTGGATCATAACCCATTTGGATGAGCTTCTTCTTCAGATGGGTGTTCCAAAAATTCTTTATCTCATTATCTGTTCGTCCCGGAAGGTGTGTTGCAATGGCTGACCACCTTGAAAATCATAAAGGAAGATGCAATGAGACCTTAACAGAACTGAATTGCCAAGTAAACGAAAACTATGTGTGTGTGTGTGTGTGTGTGTGTGTGTGTGTGAGAGAGAGAGAGAGAGAGAGAGAGAGAG